TGCGGGTGTAAGGCGCTATTAGGTGCGACCTTGGGGAAGGTTGGAGTATCAAACTTCTGCCTATATGCATGAGTGTATTGATATCGTCCTGTCTCTCTGACTCTTGCTGATTCCCTACGCTATGCATGAGCGCGGTGAATCGTCGTTGATTTTTCCCTCTCCCCCCTCTAGCGCGCGAGTGCCACGTGTCAGTTGGTTATACTTCCCATCAGGCTGATCGCCAGAAGCCAGAGACAATAGTCGCATGCGTTCTACGTTGAACAGTATTCAACGGGGATTCAACGGACCCCGATGGCTATTCAACGGGAAAAAATATATATGGTTTTTTTTTTTTTTCCGGGCCTTTTAATATTTGTGTGTGTGTGTGTGTGTGTATGTGTGTGTGTGTNGAGAGAGAGAGAGAGAGAGAGAGAGAGAGAGAGAGAGAGAGAGAGAGAGAGAGAGAGAGAGAGAGAGAGAGAGAGAGAGAGAGAGAGAGCGTATCACTATCGAGGCCCGCACAGGGTAGGACACATATATATACTTTGAGAAGAACTTAGACATTCTGCGAGACCACTCATCGAGCCTATGAGGAGGGCGGAGGAGGAGGACGAGGAGGACGAGGAGGATGAGGGAGAGGAGGGGGACCCTACTTGCCACCACATGGACATTCAAGCGCTAACGGGTTCTATACTATATTCGTATTGATGGGGTACTGACAAAAACTAGACTCTTCGTAAATGCATCCAAGAGGCGCATAGGGGGTCTCCATCGTGGAGCAAATGACACACGCGACTGACGGTTGGAGGGAGTGGAAAGCACTTATCATAAGGAGAGTTGGCGCATGACGCGAGACCACGTGTAGTGCCCGCCATTCCGAAGGACCGCCACGTGCCGTAATTACGAAAAGACTTTTAGGGCACCTAGTTTTCATAATTAGTGACAGTACTAGAGTCATTCGCAATTGCATCCATGGTGATGAGACGATCGAAAAATAATTGATCCGCATATATATCTATGTAATGAACCCAGATCACGAGACAATTGTCAACAATGCAAGTCCGAAAAAATGTCCATCGACTGATGATTACAAATAGTCAAAAATCGTGACCAGACACAGACGAAAAGGGAAGAGGAAGAAGAGACAAAGGAGAGGAAGTAAAAATGCCCACTCCTGCTACGGGCTCCCTCCTCTACTGCCACCTCATCAATCAATAGTCTGAACGAGTATCCGAGTATCCTCAATGTGCCACGTGGCACATCCAATCAGTTCCACATCAGCATCTGGAGCAATGTCGACATGAAGACCACCAGGTACGTATCCTCGAACTCTCCACAATCCTGATCTCCTCCTGAAGTGACGACGAACAGAACAGCAATGCCGAATATGTAGTCCTAGTCACAAAACACGTGGACAGCAGCCACGTCAGCCAAAATAATACACGTGGCAGCAGCCACATCATCAAAGGCCCAAGGCAGTTGCCACGCCGGCATGCCAAGAAAACAGGAGCAAGCCGGCCACCATGCCAGACACGCAGCGCCTCGCCAAGTCACAATGCCAGCAGCGTCGAGCCAGCGTCGCAGCGTCAAGCCAGCGTCGAAGTCAATGCCTCGCCAAGTCACAATGCCAGCAGCGTCGAGCCAGCGTCGCAGCGTCAAGCCAACGTCGAAGTCAATGCGTGAAGTCAGCATCAACGCAAGACAAAATGAATGTCAAAGCCAGGAAGTCAACTCTTATGTAGTGTTGATGTGGGGTTTGGACCCCGGCTGCTATATCCCTCGGCCGTCCAGATCTCAATGCGAATGAGGGCTCAGATCGGCCTGGAACCGAAATCCCTCCGGCCTGGATGCTGTTTGGGTACCTGCACACAACAAGTGAGTGTATCCAACCCAAGGCCTGGGTGCGGTACCTTTGACTCTACAATTGACTTTGACTCTTGAATTTCGTGTGAGCAGAGTTCAGTCACACAGCCACACTCGACAGACTCAGGCCTGGGCGTGTCTTGGTCACATAGCCCAGCGCAGACCTGAGAAAACTACGATTTCGTCAAAACGGACATTTTTTATTTTTTGAACGAAATTGAAACTCACATATTTTGCCTTATTTTTCTTCATTTGTGAAATATTTGTGATACCAAATGGGGGTAAGGGGTAAGGGGTAAGGGGTAAGGGTAAGGGGTAAGGGGTAAGGGGTAAGAGGTAAGGGGGGTAAGGGCAGAGGGGGTGAGGGGTAAAGGGCAAGTAGTAAGGGGTGAGGGGTGAGAGGTAAGGACTAGAGGAGCTTCGAATATAAGAGATAAGATGACCTTTCATAAAATGTCCTTATTGCATGACCAGTTACATTCATCGTGAACCACATAATTAATCCTCGTTACACTTACAAACTCTTTCCCAGCTTTACCAGATCTAATTCTTGATCAGTACATGTTCATTTCATGTGTTTGAACATCTATACTGAAAATGAAACAATCGTCTACTCCACAACAGCTACGTCGAAAGCTATCCGGCATCGTATTTTCTTTGTGTCATCTGATGTGAACGTGAAAGGTGGAAGAAACCCTCTCGCAAATAGTGATGCATATGTCATCATAAACACACCGCATTCGTTGAAGTCGTGCTGCTTTGGAATGCCTTCCACTTCCCATATGTGGTTGAAGTTTTTCGTGTCAATTTTTTGACCTTGTTCGACCGACCTCATGTACAGATATTTTGCGAACCCCCCTGTCACCTTCGTTGCGAGTTCTACTTCTGAAGTCAGCGAATCGTAGTGCTCAGTTTTCATACGTCTGAGGTCTGCCACTAAGAGTGTCCAATGTTGGTTTTACGCGACGTGATAAGGTGCAATGATCAAATCCATGTCGCTAATCACGACCTCTCTGAACCATCTACGAACACGATCATTATCGAACTTCATATCGCTATCAAATAGTTTTGCGAAAAACCACGAGCTTAAAACTGCTATTGTAGGAATGCGCCCCTTTCCTATTCTAACGACGTTTTCGTTCTTCGAATCGCAATTATGGTGCTTCACATGACACTCATTGTTCAGTCGGACAAGGTTAAGATAAAAATTCACTATCTGGTCATTCAACCACTTTTTTTCTATCATTAGCAAGCTAAAATCTCCAACTGTCATCGTTAATTCTTCTTTTGTGTCTTCGTTGAATGAATTTGCTACGACGTCGCTATCCCCAAGTTTCACTCGAAAACACGTGAGGGCCGACATCTCTCTCTCTGTCAAATTCGTTGTTGCCAAGTGGACGGTCCATCCTTTTTTGCACCTCCGGTTATCCTCCATTGTCGTTTGCGTTGCACATGACAACGCGCCATATCTTTATGTGAGCTAATATTTCAATACGTCTATTTGTAGTCATGTTCATTGCATTCTATTTGTTGTAGTAATGCGTAGTATGGGTTACCTTATAAGAGTGGGGTGCTTATTATAACTAGTAATTTACGCAGTTAAAACCAATACGCTCCATTGTTTTTTTTTTTCATGAACTTCCTTCATATTCATCAACCGCATAAAATCGAAGTTATCTTAAACGAGCGATTTTTGAAAAAACTCTATTACCAATGACATCTCTTTATTACATTCATCGACCGCATTACCAGTGTTTTATGACATACTGCAAGTATATTTTTGACATTCCTCGCTATTAATCACACTTTCTTTAGATTCATCGATCGATCAGTCGATCGAGAAATCCAGATAGAGATAGATAGATAGATAGGGAAAGGAAGACGGAGAGAGAGAGAGAGAGAGAGAGAGAGAGAGAGAGAGAGAGAGAGAGAGAGAGAGAGAGAGAGAGAGAGAGAGAGAGAGAGATCCTCTCTAATTCACTGCGGAATCAATTATTATACCACACGTCTATCGCCTAAAATATTTATCCGAGTTGCGTACAAGCACTAACACACATACACAGAGTGTTACGCCAACCCGGACTCAACCTCTGCATATATCTACACATTAACCGGGTGTTTTTTCTTTATTTCTCTTGTCGACCGTCTTGCAGGTCGACCTCCGTCATCCACTTCCTTCTGTTCATCGACATTATTCCTCGCATCCTCATTGTCATCATGCCTCTCTACATGTACGTCTACCCCTTCATCACTTAACGATATACAATTAATCACCGTCTGGGACGTGGTTGATCCCTCTAGCTTCCTCTTCCCATCCTTCTCCGCCTCATCCAACAGTTTCATCATCTCGTCGGAATTTTTTTGCATCTCACTCGCATGTTCTACATACCCACCTTGTTGCATTCGATCTGAAACTGCCACGTTTGTGGAAGGACTGGGACAGATTCATCTGCGATGCACTATGGTTTTTCGCCTGAGTTAATAGAGGAGACCCGTACAATGCAACGTTCGAAGGATCTTTATCGACATTCCGTGTTCCCTTGTCCACCCCCATTATCTTGACATTAGTTTGACTCATCGCTTCCCCGACACTGGCAGCAAAGTGCGTCGTCGACTGGCCCCCAAGCCGTGAACATCCCAACTGGATTGTCTCGATGCCTTGACATGCAGGAAGTTCGATCTTCCAATCGATGGTCTTGTATGACCGGCCTGACGGTAAATCATAGAACTTGTGTTTATATTCCTGCTGATTGTTGGCGTGTAGAGAATCGAATAGCAATTGAGTCATCTGCTCAATAGCCGCCTCGTCCGCTCCATCGTTTCGCACTTGACACGAAATACGATTTCGCGCTTCGTCACTTTCAGCCACGGTACTTCTGCCAGTCTGGCTTTGACTTTCGATCGTGATGTTAGATGCAGTGCCATCATTCACTCCCCCTTGAAAATACATGGCTCGAATACGTTTGTGTGCCACAAAATGTGGTGTCCCCACTTCTCAGACGTCGTTTCTGACACCTTGTCTTCAATGAAGTACGACTGTTCACTGACCTGCACAATGCGATCGGGAATATCATCACCAGGCATCAGCCTTGGAAGGGCATCTGGAACTGCCAAGTTATCCTCATCGTCGTCTGCCATCATGTTGTGTTCCGTGTTTCCTCGAAGACTGCGATGCCTCCCCTGGAGCCTGTGACGATAGCCGTGAATCAATGTATTCTCAAGTGCTTAGAGGGGCGTAGGCGAATCCGTTTGCATCTGTTCAACGAAACTCGCCCTGTCGGTCACGTCACGCGTTGGACTGCTCGCACCTCCCGATTTTGTGTGACCTTCTTCTCGATTCTCGTTCGGCACGCTGCATGCTGGCACACTCTGCGTTCCCTCTCGCAAACGTTCTTCAATTTCAAGGTCCGATGTTTCGGTCTCCTCGTCGCTCTCTATCGGATTCCATGCATCGGTTGTTTTGGCGATTTTGTTGTACTCATCGTACGACAGCGTAGCCTGATTGGCTGCGAACCTAATTTGTTCACATCTCGCCACGAACATTGCAAACGCACCCACGTGCGCTTTATGGTAGCCACCATACGCTTCCTGTGTCATCGCTTTGCGAACTATGTAGTCATTCTCGAATAGCGATTTGGGTTGGACTTGGAACAGATAGTCCCACATCGTGTTTCTCTTCTTGCCCAGCTTGTGGTACATATCTCTGTCCGGGCGCTGCGTTGTCTTCTGCCTCTCAACCGGGCAATTGTTTCTTGCGTCCTTCTCAAGAATGTCGATGGCCTTCGTCAAGTACGAGATGTCTTTGGACGACCCGTCGCATGCAAAAACATGATAGCCCGCGCGCAAAAGCTCCCACACAAGTCCAGCATGTGGCTTTTCGATAAGTAATACCCCCTGATCCTCGTGCAGAAATGAACTACATAGCTTCTGCATCCGTGTCGGATGTCGTTCCCACCGCCCATATTCCTCTCGTTCATTTCCTTCATCGCCGCCGTGCTTTGCTGTGCACCTCTTAAACTTCTCCTCCTCAACATGAAGCTCCACTAGCTCTGCCTCCGACTTAGGGATCCTCGTGACCTTCCTAAGGTCGCCGCCCTCGGTATGCAGGACGACCGCCATCGTGTCCTTGTAGTTGGCTTGCAACTTTCCGTACTTGTTGACAGCCGTCCCAACGAGATAACGTTTCCAAGTCCCAGGTATCACCTCTACGTCGTCCCAGTTGTACAGTTGCCGCATGACGATCTTCTGTTGTTTTTGCGGGGCAAAAACAATCAGAATCCAATTACTGCCGCACAATTTCGACATCATTTTGTGCAGAGCATCGAAATCGGCTGGCGACCATGCAAGGCAGTCCTTCGGGTTTGCGAGATCGAGGATGGCGGCCTTGCAATTCAAGTTCGTGGCTGCAGTCACAATTTCGTCGGTCGCGGGCAGCAACTCCTTCAGGTGCATGTTGACCGGCAGCAATGTCGACCGTCGCCCTTTCTTCTCCCAACACAGATGAAGCGCAACGTTCTTCAACCGTCGCAACTTAGTTGTCAGCAAGTCCACTTTCCCTATGGTGTGGTACACGAAGTACTTGAAATGGAATGACGCATCCCTGTACAACGCGTCCATGGCCTTTAGACCATCTCCTTTCAGGTTTTTTTCCTCTTGCTCTCCGCCGAGTCTTTTCGGAACCCTCCGGACGTATTCCAAAGGGATCCTATCCCTTTCCTCATCCCATTCGCCTGCCTTAACGCCAAACCTCTCCTTCGCGTTTTCATAGTCAAAGAAGTTCCCGTCCTTCCATTCTTTTGCCTCTCTGTTATCCAATTTGTAGACGATGTAGTTGAACAGACGCATCATGTACCTCTCGCGCATTATGATGTCGAGGAGGTTGGTCATATTCAACTTCCTAGGAGGAACTAGTCTAGTAGTGGCGATGACTTTCTTATCTATCACGTGCCGTCATATCTCCAAAACATTTGAAGTTTGACGGAACGAGATTTTTGAAGGACACCGTAGCGTTCGGTCCCCCGTCCCTAGACGCTATGCAATGGAACACCTCCTTCTTCCCCTGTGGCAACTCCCCCGCCTCGAACTTCTGAAAAAACTCCTTTACCAATGGCCATATCCTGTTCTTACATGTGGCGACATTCATGTACCCCCTCATTCTGTTCGTCCAGTCTGTTTGCCACTTCGGAGATAAAGACTCCGTCCACAACGATTTTTCACATGACTTCCCCATGCAAAGTCTCAAAAATTTCCTCCACTCTTTCTGGTGCGCCATACCGGTGGGATCCCCTTTGGACACGTTCCCCACTGGCCCGATCCGTTTCTTCAAGTCCCAAAATCCTGTGATGTCCTGACAGGCTTGGTGGAATGACGGCAACATAGCACGGTCAACTCTCGTGTTGTCGTATGCCGAAACATACACGTACCCGATCGTGTGGTCGTCGTCGAAATAAATGATCCGTACACGATCATAATTCCGAAAGCCGAACACCTCAACGGCTTCAGATTTCCTCGCCACTGCTCTTTTCATAGCTTCGGACGGATGTTGACCGGCAACCAGGTAATAGAAATACTCGTCTGCCCTATCGGGATCGAAGTCCTGCGGAAGGACTCGTGTCCCTTGGCTGTCCGGATGCTCAAGCGATGGCATAATCGGAGCCAGCACCAACTCCAGTGGATCCCACGGGGCCGGATCATCCGCGGACCTTGGACGAGTTGATGCCTCGATTGCCGCATCGATGCCTGCAACGATGGCCAAGTTTAGCTATCGCTGGTTGAAGGCTATATCTCCCGCCGGAATTGGAAGAATTTGCACGACGTCAATCACCACCCTAGGCGGGTCTCTTCTCTTTTTGTCGTCGTCGTCGTACTTGAGGAAGAAGCACTGCGTCATGTTGACCGCACTGGGTTTCTTCGTCTCCTGCTTGTCGTCGTCAGGGAGGGAGAGCAAGCGAGGGGCCACGCCTTCAGCATCGTCGCTGGAGTCGTCCGATTTCTGACGCCTTGATGGCCGCACGGGTTTCTTGGGTTGTGACGTTTTGCGAATCCGAGCACTTGATTTGCATTTCACATCRACGTCACCAAGCGTCCCTTGAGATGCATCCAAGGCGACCCGAGCTTCGTCCACAACTTTTCTTCGAGCCTGTTTCTTAGGCGCAGCAGGCTTCGGCGACGATTTTGCAGTGTGTTTTCCCCTCCCCTTGGAAGCAAGCCCCGCGGAAGCATCCACGTCTTCTCCTTCGTCTTCCAATTCCTCGTCCCCCATTTCCGAACCACGCACAGCACCACCGCCCACCCCACCGTCCGCCGCAATATTTTCCCACTCCATATGGTCTGGCCCTCCTCCAACCTGTTCTTGGCGCTCTCCAGTACCACACTCCCCTTCATCCTCATCGTATTCCCCATCGTCCCTCACCTGGGTTTCGGCACCTCCACCAGCTTCCCGCCCCACATTCACATCGCAAGAGCCTTTGCCCTGGATGTGTCGAGGTGTCGCTAACAACCACGATTGCATTCGGTGAACCCATTCGTCTTCTTCCGTTTCTTCGTCCGACTCCTCGTCCGTTCCACATTGAGCGGTGTCACGCGAGCGCGAGATGGCACCATAACGCGAGCTTCCAGGAAGATCCGAAGGAGGTATGGGGAACCCCCTCTTCTTCGGAAGGTTTTCCGATGGACCACCGCCCGAACGCCTCTGGTAAGTAATGACTTTCTGCTTCCCGCCGGCAGGTTGTTGCGGTGTCGACATGACCTGCCGCCGCTCGCTAGAGCACGTTGATAAGCCTGCGAGACTCTCGACAGGAGCATCGAACGGGACAAGAGGTAACAAGAGCTGGTGACGAGCGGCGACCGTCAGGAATTGACCACTTTTCCTATACCCATTGGTCTTGCTGAGGAATTCAATGGGTAAGAGCATCTTCAAGGCATTCCCATCTCGATTGCCGCCGAAGGCTTTCATAGCAAATGCATTCTGACCATACCCCTTAAACAATGCGAGGTCGAGGCTGACCTTGTGGTCAGTCTTGACCCAGTCCGCACCCTGCTCATCGTACACCGAAGTGAGGAAGAACTTCCTCAATTCTCGCTCGTCGACCTTGCCCTTCTCCGCCATTGCCTTGTCAATTTCAGACCTGATGATGCCACCACAACAGTACCTGGTCGCCCCTTCGTCCTCCGTAAAAAACACAGCAGCACTGCACCCGGACTCGCCGGCCACTCCGACCCAGTCGAGAGCCCACGCCTTGTCGCGATACAATTTCGACCTGTTGTTGTACCTCTTATCCGCATCATTCGGACCCTTACGACCTCTCCCTGGATGAGATATCCATAAGAAAAATGACGAGGGATGCATTAATGTCACCTATCTCTATCTCTATCTCTCGCAGCACAAGATGGGACATTGCATCAACAGAAGCAATCGTAAGGCATGCCGGCAGCACAAGAAGTAGAGCCCCGAAGAGTTTGGACCCCAACCTTGCACAAGGAGGCGGCGAGGGTCCAGCGTTTGTCAAACGCCGGACCCCCTTCCAAAAGCACTGCCGGTGGGCGGGGCGGGGGGGGGGGGGGGGCACAACGGTTAACAAACGGCGGACCCCGGAGGCGGCCTGTGCTTTTGGAGGGGTCCAGCATTTGACAAATGCTGGACCCCCGCCAATGCCTCGGCCGGCAGGCGGGGAGTCCAGCGTTTGTCGAACGCTGGCCCCCCCGCCTGCCAGCCGACCCATTGGCAGGGTTCCAGCGTTAGTCAAATGCTGGAAAGCCGTCAATGCGTCGGCCGGTACGCGAGGGGGGCCAGCGTTCGACAAATGCTGGACCCCCGTCCACGGGCCGTGCCATTGGTGAGGGTCCAATGTTTGTCCTTCATGTGGACCCTGCAGAAGCACGGCCCGTGGGCGGGGGTCCAGCGTTTGTCAAACGC